TTAAGAAAAACAAATTTCAAAAGAAAACAATCAACTGTAAAGTTTTACCCCATATGTCACAAAGTGTTAAGCTCCTTACAATATAAAGAGCTCTTACAAATCAAAAACTTAAAAATCAACACCTCAGTAGAAAAAATGGGCAAAGGACATAAAGTGGCTCTTCACCCAGGAAAATCTGTAAATGCCTAATAAGCATATGAAATCCAAGGTATTAAATCTCACTGGTAATCAAATGAACAGAAATAAAATCAACATGGTATCTCTTTCTTCCTTCCTTCCCTCCTTCCTTCCTTCTTTAATCCTTCCTCACTTTCTCCTTTTTTCTTTCTTTCTTCTTTCTTTTCGTGCCTGATTATAAAGTACCCAGTATTAGAAAGACTAAGAAAACAAGTACCTTGGCTCATTGATGATGGGAATATAAATTGCTACATTACTGGAGGGAAATTTGGCAATGTACATCATAATTACAGGTGTACATATCTTTTATCACAGCAATTAATCTTGAGATAACTCCTAAAGAAATAACTGGATAACTTTCCTCGTAGTTACATAAAGGATGTTCATTGTTATGCTTAAAAGAGGGAAATAATGGAAAACACCTAAATGCCTATCAAAATGGATATAATTAAAAATTCGAAGTATTTTTATATTTGTTGACATGTAAGGATGTTCAGTATATCTTGTTAAGAAAAACACTATGGGGGGCGGGGTTTGAGGTTGTAAGCAACAGAAAATGACTGGTAACTTAAAAGAGAATGTTTGAAAGGAGGTAGAACAGATCACAGAATCAAAGGTAAAGCTGAAGAACCAGGCTGAAAAGGAGAGGAACCTGGACAGCTCCAGGGAGACAAGTAGCAGCAACTAATGGGCTATCTTGTCCAGGCACCACAATTGGGATGAGAGGTGTGTTGAAATTCCCAACTATGATTGTGGTTTCATGTATTTTTCCCTTAATTCTCTCAATTTTTGCTTTTTGTATTTTGAAGCTCTGTTATTAGGTATATACATATTTATGGTATTTATGTATACACATACATATTTTTATATCCATTTACTTTCAATCTATCTATGTCTTTACATTTAAAATATGTTCCTTGTGGACAGAATGTAGGTGAATCTTTTTTCCCTACTAATCTATTCTGACAATTACTATCTTTTAATTGGAATGTCTGTACATTAAAATTTAATGTAATTTCAAGTATGGTTGGATTTAGATTTGCTATTTGTTTTCTGCTCGTCTTCTCTTTTTGTTGTTCCTTTCTTCTTTTCAATCGAGTATTTTTTTTTTTTAGAATTCCATTGTAATATACCTGATGGTTTAAAAAGAAGTTTTGTTATAATTTTTTTTTAATATGAAAAGGCTAGTAGCCTCTTGTATATTCTTTCGTTTACGACTTTTATTTAATAGGTTAACAGGTCAATCTCCTTCATAGTATTTAAAATATCTGACCAAATTCCAAAATATATTTTTAATAACTTTTTAGCTCTAACACTTCATATGTTTTTAGTGGTTGCTCTAAGGAGTACAATATATAGTTTTAACTTTTCATAGTCTAGAGTTAATATTATACCACTTCATATATAATATAAAAATCTTGCAACTCTTTCTATACTCAGATATGCTCATTTATCCCTCACCTCATCTTTACACTATAGTTTTCATAGATATTGCATATACATTATTCACCTCACAGTACAATGTTATAATTGTTTCCTTTAAATAGTCATGTGTATTTTAAAGTAATTAGGAGGAATTGTCTTTTATATATACCCACATTTTTACAATTTTTCTTGCTCTTCATTCCTTCCTAACAATATACATTTCCATCTATTTTTTTCTACTTTTTTTGTTTCTTATTCTTCTTTTCTCTCATCTGGTTTTATTTCTTTAAATCTGAAGAACTTCCTGTGCATTTGTAGCACAGGTCTGCTGCTAACAAATTCTCTCAGTTTTCTTCTGTCTGAAGTCTTACTTTGCCTTCATTCTTAGAAGATACTTCCATTGGATAAAGAATTCTGGGTTGACAGAATTTTTTTCTCCAGCACTTTAAGAATGTCATTTTAGGTCCACAACTACCAAGGTCGCCACCGGACTGAGTCCAGTACAGCTAGATGGTGCCCGGCTACCACCACCAACTGCTCTGACCAGGATCACAACAGAGGGTTCTGACAGGGCTGGAGAAGGAGGTAGAGCATAATTCTAACTCACAAAAAAACAAAGACCAGATTTACTGGCCTAAAGGAGACTGGAGAAACCCCGAGAGTATGGCCCCCAGACACCCTTTTACCTCAGTGGTGAAGTTATCTCCAAGGTTCACCGTTCAGCCTGGGAGTGGACAGCCCCATAAAACCAAATGGGACTAATGAGGTACAGTAGTCCAGTGACAACGGCCAGAAGGCAGAAGGGGACAAGGAAGCTGGTGATAGGGAACCCAAGGCTGAGTAAGGATATTGTTGATGTGTTGTGAGATTGTTAACCATTGTCATAGGGCAACATGTGTAATAACTGTTAAATGAGAAACTATTTTGTTCTGTAAGCCTTCATCTTAAGTGAGAACAGCAGCACAATTGGAAGAGCGTAGTCAAGGTCACTGAACTGTGCATGTAGAAATTTCTGAAATGGTGTATCTTTGGCTA